TCTGTCTCTCTCTCTCTCTCTCTCTCTCTCTCTCTCTCTCTCTCTCTCTCTCTCTCTCTCTCTCTTTCTCTCTCTCTCTCTCTCTCGTGCGCGCGCTTAGTCCCATTGCTTTGGCTAACCTTAGGGCTGCGATCCCTGATTCCCCGCGCCCATGCGGTAGACAATGCAGTGGAGTGACGACCAACATGTGTGTCGCAAACACGCCGCACGGTAGAGAACGAACACAGTCCACTCCACGAGACCCCGCAAGCATAACTACCTCTCACAAAGGGAATGCATGTTTCTCCCTCGTCGAGGCTTCAACATCTTTGTCAAGTATCTTATTTTCGGGCAGCTTGGGACCAGGACGCAGATGAGTTCTTAGGGGGTGGAATTTTTTTGGGGACCGATTCTTCAAGATATTGTGAACGACATGCAACTAGCTCTTCTAGAACTGGGACTTTTGGAAAAAGGAAGGACCAGTTCTCGGGTGGAAGGGTGTGACGAACCATTTTCTGTAATCATGCGACTTTCGGCGCGAAGCTGCTTTGGGGGAACGGGACAGGTTAGTAGGGCGAAGCACGTGGGGATGGGTCGGCTGGGCAAGTTACATGGATGTCCTCGTTTCTTTTTTAATTTTCCTTTTTGATTTTGTCGGGCCAGTATCGGGAAAGGTCCCGCCTAGGCAGTAGGAGACCGCGCCTTAGCGAGAGCGAGAAATAACTGTTGCCATAACTTCTTTCTTGTTCTGCTGGGGCGAAGGGGAACGAAAATTCTGACGCGATGACCGTGTGGGAACATCGTTTTTTCTTTTTCAAAATTTTCTTTCAACTGATGTCGAGCCCCCGTGGGCTCCTCGGAATCGTTTTTCGAGTTTCTCGTTCTTTGGAATTTTCTTCTTCTGCAAGCCGGATTATTTAGGAATTTAGGAACCTTGGAATTTTTGCTGCGCTGTGCTTCTTGCTTGCGCGCACCTGTCTGCGGCGGGAGCAAAGCTCTGACTGTATCTTTTGGCGGATGCAGTTGTAACTATATCTCTCTCTCCTAGACTCTCTCGCCTTTCTTCCCTCCTTCTTCCTTCCTGTTGTGCATGCATCCTCCTTCGTTTTGATAGGCCGAAGCGCTGCATGCCCAGATCGATGCGTGGAGAGTGGCTACGACCCCCATGCCACCGCTTGACCATGCAGAACGTAGGCACTTCCCTTTTCTCCTCCTTCCTTCTGTCTTGGGTATGATCACGGGTTTCTCGCATAAGCACGCATGCTATAAATTTCACAAGCACGACTGATTCGCTCTCTCTGGATTTGAAAGGTTAGCACGGTCGGTGAGGATCGACTAACGAGCAAGTTGGAAGGTGAGTAGAAGTGAGTCGGGCGATCCGACGGGCTGGTGCCAAGTAAGCGGGGTTGACGTGCGGGCCACGACGGACTGTGGCGCACGGGCGAACCTGGCGTGCATGCTTGGACTAAGCGGGGTGACGACTCGGTGTTGGTGCGAGACGAAGGACTGTCCGCATCAGAGGTGACGTGGTGTAGAGAGAGAGAGAGAGAGAGAGAGAGAGAGAGAGAGAGAGAGAGAGAGAGAGAGAGAGAGAGAGAGAGAGAGAGAGAGAGAGAGAGGAGCAGACGGGTGTGAGATCGTGACCTTTCTTTTCTTTTCCTTGTATTAAATTTTGGTCCCAGGCAAAAGCCATCTTTCTTGTCTCCGATTTTGTGCGATGGTGTCGCCTGGTGTGCAACTCTATTCTCCCTTCTCCTTCCTTGTTGACGAGTGTGGGTTGAATGCCTCAGTTTTGTTGGATGCGAGTGTCAATCTTGAAAAGTGTGTCTGACCCATGGGGATGTGCGTCGTCTTTGCATGAACGAGTGAGGATCCGATGAATGAATGTTCCACGGTCTCACAAGAAACCTGATCACCGAAGAGTTGTGTCGTACTCTGGAAGGAATTTGTGAGTTTGGGGAACTAATTAGTCCTTTTGATTACTCTGAGTGTATCTGCTGGATGATGAACCCTTCGCAGCCTTATCGATGTATGAATGGTTGGCTTGTCACGAAATTGCCTTATGTTATGCCTGAAAGTTGTTTTTCTTTTTGATCTGATAGCGGCATGACGAACCCTTGGGAAACCACGGGGGCATCTGAAACGACCCCCTGAAATGACCCATCAACGGGAAGCGAGTCTCACGCACGCGCGTCTAAGCACGATCGCAAAGACGCGTCTTCCATGCGCGTCCACAGGACTGGCCCCCGAGGGCCTATGATAAAGTCACCCCTTTTTTTTATATGGATGTTGAGATTCCCTTCTACGTCACAGATTGCGAGAGTCTGAGGTATCGACGGTTCCGTGAATATTGGGAGCGAGAGCGTTACTATCAAGCCGCACGACCCCAGTCCCGCCTCCCCGAGTTCCCCTTCTATGCGGGAACGGAACGCGTAAGTGAATGGGATATTGAAAGGGCCTTAAACGCGATTCCCTTCCCACCCCGATTTCCCCACTCGCACGCATGACACGTCATCGCCGAACCAGGAATTGCCATCATCGAGACCAATTATCCTCCCCACCGCCTCGTAATCCCCTTTCACTGTCTAACAACGGTCCCTTGGTGCGCGATCGGCCCCTACTGGCCACGAACCCCGTGCTCGAAGTGTCAGCAAGACAGTATTTACCGTGCGGCGGGATTCGTCCGCCAGACCCGAACTGAGGCGGACCAGCGATCGCACAATCTCCGACTGAGACCAGCCTCGGCGGACTCCGAAGTCTGCCACGAGCGACGCCGATGGCTAGCCAGCCAGCGCGACACTCATAGCGTCCCGAAGGGCCATCAGATCTAAGACCGACCACGATGCCAATACTCACACCAACGGTAGCCTTGTGTCCCGAAGCCCCTGCTACCGATGCACCTCGGGATTACCATCTTGCTCAATTACCCTTGAACTGGCCACAAGGAGATCCCAATTCCGACCTGGGACTCCACTACAATTTCCTAAAATCCTTGGCACACCCCTCTTTCGCACTTCCGGGCCCCCATCCCACTCCGATCAAGAAGTCGCGTTGGGCATGAGGTTGGGCGTCACAAGGGGACCCCAAAAAGAAAAAAGGAGGCGGGCCCAGACAATTAGGTAGGGTCTGGTGCCCACGCATGCGAACGTCACGGTTGCTTTCCACTAGGTCCCTATTGTCTACCGTGTGGGGGCGGGGAACGCAGCCCTCAGGTAGCCAAAGCAATGAGACTAAAAGCATGCATGAGAGAGAGAGAGAGACACACACACACACACACACACACACAGAGAGAGAGAGAGAGAGAGAGAGAGAGAGAGAGAGAGAGAGAGAGAGAGA